ATTTATTTTATCGTTTACTGGAAACACTCCGGCCCGAATGAAATACGAACAAAATTAATTGATATGAAAAATATTCATAAATGTCCAACTACATATCGTTTCAATTCACAGAAAGACTTGCTTTATTGTGTTTTTTGCTATTTTTTGTATGAAAAAAAGATCATTTTGATGAATAATGATGCTCTTAACATGTATCGAATATCCGTCATTTGTTCTTTTTATCGTTAGTTCTATCTACAGCTGACAATACTTAGTACAAACACGTCAAACAAAAGTTTCGTTTAAAAACCTTTCGTTGAGCTGTTTTTTTAATCCTTTTGTATTTATTACTAAACAACGAATTTTTATCATGTCCTTTTTCAGCATTATTCGTTTAGGTGAAGACATGAAAGAATTTGATCTTTTTTCGTTCTTTTTCAAGCTATATTATTAAAACATACGAAAACTATGACATGATACACACTGATTGATTCAGATGTGTGCACATTTCCACTACCAATGAATATAATCCTCAATGAATAAATATACAGGCAAATTACTTTTCTAATATATACCTGCACAATTTTTCCGCAAGAATTACAATTAATAATAAAATAAACATACATGCAACTTAGTTTCTAATACATACTTGAATAACTTTTCAGCAAGAATTACAATTAATTGCAGTTATGTAAAGTCGTAAAGCAAATAAAGTCAGTTGAATCATCAATTGTAAATATGCTACGATTATATTTCGTAAAACCATGTTCATTGATTTAAGGGTATCCTTATTTTTTGAAAAAATTTTCGATTCTGAGTTGAGAAGAGACTAATGTGGCGAAAAGTCTGGGCTAAAAAATAAGACTACTTCCATTATGTCACCATGTTTTTAGAAAAAACTACCTGTTTTTTAAATTTTGGCTCGAATTTTATAAATTTTTCTCTCCTTCTTAGGTCCTCCAAAAAATGTTTTTATACATAATCTGATAGAACAAAGTGTTCTATTCTATATATAATGAGAGGTTTTACAAAATTTTCCAATCGTTTTTCATGGAGATATAAGCATTGCCGCAAATGCTTTGGAAAAACTGGCTTGTTTGATGTTACTTGTAATGCTCAAAACAGTAGTGGTTCTAATCTATGAACATTATGAACGCATCCAAACTTAATCCGATCATGCTCAAAAGTTTATCACAGATATTTGGGACCATATCTCAGAATGTAGTTTTTTGTTTTTGACCTGTGAGTGTTTTAGACAAGGGGGAAACGGCGGACTTCAAGTACCGTAAAGTCGAGTAAAGCAACGTCTAAAGTAATCTAAAGTAGGATAAAGTACTTTAAAATTAGAGCAAAGTAGAGCAAAGTACTTTAAAGTAGCTCAAAGTGCTGTGAAGTAGCGTAAATTAACTTCAAGTACAAAGTGCGCCGTTTCCCCCTTGGTTTTAGATCTGTAACTATCGATGTGTTTCTTTCCGTTTTATGGGGTTTCCAGAATCAAAAACCGAGGTTTAGGCAGGTTATTCTTTTCATATCTCAAAAAGGAAAAATCAGAAGCCAAAAACAAGCTCTGCAATATGGCTCCAGTTATCTGTGGTAAACTTTCGAGCTCGATCGGCTAAAATTTTGATAGGGTAGTAACATACATGGATGAAAACCGATGGTTTCCGAAAAACTTATAGGAAAACATGTAAAAAGATTCTGGACAAAAATACATCGATTGATTTTTCTGTGAACGCGAGAAAATCGCGAGCGCTAAAAGCCGCGTATTATTTCGCGAATCTTACAGCGGACGCGATCTCGTCGCGAATTTTTAAAGAGACTGGCGGCGTGACACGCGATAAGAAAATGGACTTTGGACGGTTATGCTGTTCATGGTTTTTCAAACCACAAATTTTATTTTATGATTTCTACTTCAGTGAATATACTCCACGACCACATTCCCGTATTTTATCTTACGATTTTTTCTTTACAGCTTGAAACTCACGCTTTTTTTCGTACTATTTTCTGTTCTATACAAGTATCTAAAATCGTTTGTTAATACACAAAGTGGTACATTTATCGCTTATCTCCTAATCCTAATAAAAGTACACATGATTTGAATTGGAAGAAAATATTTATTCAGGTTTCTTTCCAACATATACAATGTTTAGATGATGGATCACGTTCAGATGTTGATCAGTGGAAATTACGAGATACACCGGCTCATGATGTAACAACCATTCAATTTAATTCAATGTTTTATACTACCGGTTGTTATGTCACGAGGACATAAAGAGTTCGTATGTTTGGAAATGTGACTTTCTTTTCCTTTCTGTTCTACTGACGTCATGCATCGGTCAGTACTAAGCGTCATGTTGTTATGTCATAAGGACATAAGAACATCATATGTTATCATATGGAACTATTCTTTGTCCTTCCTGACGTCATGTTCTTTTCTATTCTTCTTACGTCATGACCTGTTATTCTATCTGTTTCTCGGATGTTCAAATATCTGTAAATTTTATATATAAATAGTTGTAGTTTTTTACTGTGTTTTCATGTAGTTATTTGGATTACTAGTTCATGAACAATAAAGTGATAGAAAAGTATTCAAGCTTTTTTTTGAAAACATAACACCGGTGTTGTCGTTTGTATATTTCAACGATATTTAGAAGAAACTCCAACGTTTGTGGAAGTAAAACAAATATTTATTGTTAAAGGGCAACCGTTTTTGGCATGTACAAAACTGAGAATTGTGAATTTCCATAAAACTCTGCCAGCATTCCAAGTAGAAAGAACGCAAGAAACTGGCTCGATAACACCTTCATTTCTCAAATACATTTGGCCGTTAAAGCTAATCAATCTGAATAACACTTTTTATGTTCCCTTTAGACCCTATCGGAGAACTTTTGCACGAATAAGTTAGAATAAAAACAGTTCAGTTGTGTTTTTCTTTAAAATTTTATCTGAAAAACCTACTAATGCTGCTATAATACTCTTTTCTCTGTTTTCTTTCAGATAAAGTAAAAATGGTTTTATGTAGTTTATACTACGAAGATTTTCGTTCTCAATACATTTCTGTGTTTACTAATTGTGTGATTTGTAATGAACCGATAGCTCGACACGAACATGACCCTTCATCAAGAAAATCCGATGATATCGTTACATCACCATTGAGTTCAGCATCATCTACCGTCACAACACCAATACGAACAGACAAACACCCTATCAATAACACAGTATATTCTGCAACAGCACTATCATGCAAATCTTCTTCTTCATCAGTAAACTTTAATAGTGCTGATGATGTATTAGTGTGTCCAGACTCCTTGTCACCAATAACGCTAATATCATTAAGTCCAAATATCAAAGATTTTGTAAATTGTAAAGCTCGGTTGAATTACACAGAAGCAGTTCATTTATTTAAACGGGTACGTTTTTCATATTTTAGTATAAGAATCGTCTGATCCGTCTTGTTTACTTTTATAGAAAACTCGTGCTGAGAAAGCATCATCCTCAAGCGATCGGTCAAGAAAAGTGAATAAGCTTATTTGGATCATCTTAAGAGAATGCGTCATTGTTTTTCACTGTAGATTTATGTGGCAATAACATGTGTATTACCTAGTTACACAGCAGAAGTCGAACAAGCATTAAGAGAAGGTATGCGGTTTGAGCTACAGAATCTTCTTAATCAATCACGACTTGGAATATCAATTATCAAACCTTGATGATGGGACTGAATATCAGTTCTTTTTCCATGTCTGTGTTTAGGAAAAATTCATACAGTCGAAGAAAAATTCATTTTGATGACACGAGAATTTTTTCTCAGTAATTATCATCCACAGTCGTCTGTTGATTACCGAAACATAGTCCAGGCGGTAATAAAGCGTTACCGTGCAATTTTACAGAACGAACAATTTTCAGCGGTAAGTTTTTGGGTATTTATGAGGCTGCACCGTCGCTGAAATAGAGTAGACGTATGCTTCTTCCTTTTTTAGCAATGGTTAAGCCATGGTTTATGTACTTCGATCCGAAATAAACGTGCTGAGCTGAAACGTCAAGCCAGTGGAAAAAATAGAAAACGAAAACAAAAACAGATCACAGTTAAATCGTAACGAACGATCAGATTCCTTACGATCAACATCCTGAGACAACTGTGGTTGGAGACGTCGTTTATCACGCTAAATGTCACGCGGGATTATTTGTTTTGTTTTATTTGTAACTCCGTTATTTTTTGATCGTTTGAGGCAAAATTTTGGTCCTTTTATCAGTTCATTGTGGTCAACTACTGGTGAGAAAACCAGCATTTGAGAACTTACGGCTCGAGAGAAAAATGAAAATTGGTTGAAAAATGTCACGCGAGATTATTTGATAAATAACTAACTACTCTAGAACTAAAGACAAATTCAGCTTATTATATATTAATCGATTCGTCATTCCAGGGACTATTAATCTCACTATGTGCTGTTTCTAGACTGTACTTGGCTAGTTAGAGAATAAGCGGAAAAGATTAGGTATCGCATATATCTCCCTGTCTTTTGTAAAGTTATAAATCTCGTCCCCGTATAAGTTTTTTCGCTTCAACTGACACCGCAGGCAGTCTCAGGGATTCTTTGTATATCATTCTGAGAGGCTTGTCGAGCTCTATCAAATGATATATCGCACTTATACTTTGGTGTTGCAGACGAAAGTTTGTCTACATATAACGTCAAGAGTTAAGCATATATCGAAACTTGCGTATCACGCCCATTTTAATAGCGGTAGTTGGGAAATTTTTTTTCTATCTTCCTCTCATGTACTACAACAAAATGTGCGACTCACTTTTCTCTGTAATCGTAAATTTTTTTTCGATCATTTTTTCTCTGAGCGGTACAATAAAATTGTAATTGGCACATATGTTTGGCAAGAGAATAATTTTTGTGTTAGTAAGAACCGCTTGTTTCATATTTATTCGTGTCTCTGTTCTAGGAAACTAGATTTGTTTGCGATAAAGATATAATTTTTTCTGTTTTTTGTTGCGGTTGATATATAAATAAAGAGTGGAACTACTCTTCACTTTTATTTTTATCCTACAGGTCAACAGGTTTTCAGAAGAACTTTTCTTTGGCTTTCCCTTCAGAAGCTGAAAATCTCAATATAAAGAACGTAAACTGTTTTATTTCTAAGATAAAATAAGCGCAACAAACCCGGGGATTTTTTTGCTATTTGCGACCGAGCGCTTTAAGTCTTTAATTAACGCTTGCAGAAAAAACAGATATATCTCTGAAAGTAAGGTAGAAAAGCGTGTAACCCGTTGTATACAAAACTTAGCTTCACTTCAAACATCAGCAAATGGTCGTAACTGGTATTTAACGAAAGCATTGGAAATTCAAGGTTTGGTTGATGTCAGACCGGCACCTAAACAAAGCGCTCAGTCAATTTTAGGATCTCCATTGGATAATTCATCCATGTTATTACCTCTGAATCTTGATTATAAAAAAGCACATGAAGTGAATCAATTGGTTCTATTCCATTTTAATGATACTAATGAAAAATTTAGTATTCATATAAGAAACGCAATAGTTGATGTACAATATAAATGGCCACGAAATTTTCAATCAAATAACGCAAATGATATGATTGTCGAAGTGAATAAAGAACAAACTTGGAAACAAGTGATAACTCGCGTGAAAAGTCTAAACTTGGCTCATTCAAAGCTTAAAACCAAGCTTAAACCATTCAAAGGGAGAAATAATAATTAGAAATGGAAATGGACAAATACGTTTAACAGGTGAAGCCCAACTGACAAAGTTCTTAGATATGTTCAATTAACAATAAAAGTAACGCAAAAGATTGCTGCACATATACTAATCTTACAGTACACTGTTAATCCAACTTATTTTCTAATTTATAAAAAATTGACTTTAAAAATGGGAAACCTACCTTACGAACGGAAGTGCTCCAGTGTGTCTTGAGGTCTCATGTTGAACTTAACACATAAAGAACTGCCACCCTGATTTAAGGCAAAGAAAAAAAGCAAGAAAACATCACTCATGGAAGACTGTCCCAAGTAGAGATGTGCACGGGTACCATTTTCGTACCCGTACCCGACCCGACCCGACAACTTTGTACCCGTACCCGACCCGTAATCGGCTTATACCTAAAAGATTTCTCCTTATTGTTTTCCAGCTAAAAACTTTTGTTTTTCGGCTGAACATGTCAAATTATCATTACGTTCTCAAGTAATTCTTTTTTAAACCTTGTGATGAGTCTATTTATTACCCCGAATATTTATTCGCACCAAAGATAGAACAATACAATAACGTACAATACACTAAACGCTACGAATCCAAATGAGAGGAAATCTTCACTATATAATTACGCAACTGGAAAGAAAGGAAGGAAATAGATGTTCTTACGACACACTGAGAGAGGTGGGTCGTAACAAACGTTAATGTATGTTAGCTGGATTCCTGTATTTTTTCACTAAAATTTTGAGAGTTTTCCACTCGAACCTTTCGGGTTCCGGGTAAGTTAAAAAAAATAGAACCCGTACCCGACAACTTCGTACCCGTACCCAACCTTCGGGTCGGGTCGGGTACGGGTACGGGTCGGGTACGGGCCGGGTTGCACATCTCTAGTCCCAAGATTCTGGCTAAGCACTTTCAAGACAAGCACATCGATCTTAAGCAGTACCTCGATGAACATTGACTGCTCGTTGGAAAGAAGCTCAAGTGATTTCTATTGTTGTGAGTCTTCCGCCTCAATTTAAAACAAGAATGCTAGCGTATAGTCACATCAACCAATTTGATGTCGTGTTGGTGTTGACGATCAGTGATGGTGTGTGTGCGACAACGAACAAAGTAACAGCTAAAAATCTTGAAAATTGGAAACACTGGTAGGGGCTGTACTTTCTTTTTGTCAGTACTGTAGTAGTTCTTATGGGATATTATTTTGTATAGAGTAAACCACTGTTAGTTTCTTGAAGCAATTGTACGAATTGGCACGAAATTTCTAGCGCTCTGTAGAGTGTGCGATGGCCTTTATCGACAGGTTTTACGCAGTTTCTCTTCACTCTCCATTGTCGAAAGTAAGAAGTGTGTAGCTTAGAGTTAATAAATGAAAGAAAGCAAGCAGACGCGCACAAATCATTCGACTGATAACTTTTTTCTTTTTTTTCAATAAGTGTCGCTCAAATGATTCAGCATAGATGATCAAAGCATTTTGTTGACACAAGCATGTGTGTAAATAGGAAGTACTATCGGCATGAAAAACATACACGCTAACCTGGATTCATTATCGCAAAATCGACTTTTTATACGCTGAACAGAATCGGTCCAAATTTTTTTTCTGAATAGCTTATTGAATGAATCTACGGGCCAGTGGCGGATTCAGAATTATTTTTTGGTACGTGCGGTATATGAAAAAAGTGCGAGATACGTGCGATCGTCATAGAAACAAATTATTCTAAGAGAGATCTGCTGAGAAAAAACAGTTTCTTTGATTAAAAGGTACGAGCGGCCGCTCGTACCGCTCGCCGGCTGGATCCGCCACTGCTACAGACAGCAAAGTATCTCTTTATTCAAGGGGTTTTCAGAAGAACTTTTCTTTGGCTTTCCCTTCAGAAGCTGAAAATCTCAATATAAAGAACGTAAACTGTTTTATTTCTAAGATAAAATAAGCGTAACAAACCCGGAGATTTTTTGCTATTTGCGACCGAGCGCTTTAAGTCTTTAATTAACGCTTGCAGAAAAAACAGATGTATCTCTGAAAGTAAGGTAGAAAAGCGTGTAACCCGTTGTACATACAGGTCATACACTTAACTGTATGGTGCTGTCCATTGGAAAATTTTACGCCCAATCAGCGCTTGGTCATACACTTAAGTAATGTAAAAAAGTCCTTTTGGTGGATGGCCATCTTCAGTATTGGTTAATGGTACCACACACTTTTCTGCATGATCATTATCATACAAAAAAGTATGTGGCTGTCAGTTACATAATTGTGTTTCCAGTGAAATAAAATTGTACTTTTCTTTAGTAATTTTCTCACAACTCGACCCTACCTTTGGTTTGTGTCTCAGAAACAAATACGTTTTTTGTACTTTTTCATAGTGCGTTTGAATAACGTATAGAAAATTATTTAACAAATAAAAATGACATGTTAGTAAAAATAGAATACGTCAATCCGTCATAGTCAAGATACAGTTTTAGATGAAAGATGGTGAGAAAAACAATGCCAGTTTGTGGCGTCCAAAAGCCATTTGAGTTCATTAAAATATTCAAATAAACAAGTTCTGCACAACTTGCAGCATTCAAGCACACGAAAGAAGTATCTAACAGTGCATCGTTGCAGTGTCAGATTTCGAATATTATCATTTAATGTTAGCGGCAATGATGAACTAACCAAGTAAAGCAAACAATTTGATAGAACGGCGAATATTTCCAGTAGAGGATAATAGTTTCGAACAATATTCGTTGATAAGAGAGATCGAGATTGACCTAACTGATCGGCATATGAAAATCGAAGATGAGTGACCGTAATTTTGGTTGATATTTTAACTTTCCGAATAAAGATACTATCGCAGTTAATCGAGAATGATCGACGGTAGTAATAGATCCGACAATATCAAAATTTAGACCATTTAAATCACAAGATGCCAACAAATAAGCTAGGTGTGAGAACGTAAGGATTCGTAAGCGTAAACGGTTAAAATGGGTGCTATGAACACCATATTTGATAGATCTGGCCCATTTTAGGATGAGATAAAATGGGGCGATCTTTATTTACTTGGTCTAAAACGTTTCTAATATCATTTTTCTCTGTAACGCGGTAGAGTACAGCATCTTCAGCAAACAATCGCATCGTTCCACTAACATTATCACCAAGAGCATCAATAAAAGTCAACACATATCACCGACAAAAAATTAAAGTTCATTTAGAGTTAAAGAAAAGTGCTTTTTCGTATTCAGCACACTTGATAACCTGGAAAATTTTCTGTTTTTAGCGAGGGGTACCGCCAAAAAGTTAAGAAAAATTTTCAAAATT